AGCTGGAGAGTGAGGGAGACTGCCGGCAAGTAAAGCGAGGAAACGTTACTTCCTGGAAATCAATGTGAATCAAGTTTTGCTGATTTTTTGCATTCTTGCTTCGATTTTTGTTCTATGCTATTCAAGCATGATTTGTAGAGTTTTGCTACCATATTTCAGTATGACTCATACTCAGTGTTGTCAGTGGCAAATATTTTGTGGTGTTGTTGTTCTGTTCAAATAATACGATGCTACTACTTGTTTCTAGATGTGATATAACTGAATTCAATGCATTTGTGGTATGGTTTTCTGGAAGTGGTTTCAACTTTCGTTGATGTCTAAACAGTTTGAGTTGAGTACGGATGAAATAAGAGTTGTTTCTTGAATTTTGTAGGATTATTGTTAGCTGAAAGTGGTTGGAATTGATGTTTGATTTTTCTCAAATAAAGTTTATAGAAACAATTTTCACTAATGGCTGGTTTTATATTACGATGTTTATAGGTATTTCGTGGAGCTCACACATTTTTCCCTTAATATAAAAGAACATATGTGCGGCTCCATCAATCCACTAATCGTTTTTTATTTAAAGAACTTCAGATGAGAAGTGTCTCGAAGTAATTTTGATTAATATTAATGATAATGAGTTGATTAGCACTTATGTGACAACTAATGGGTTACAATAAGCAATATATGTACTAGGGTGGAACGAACAAAAAATTTTTTTTTTTGCTTAAAAATTATTTCTTTAACATCTAGACTCAGTTTTAAAGCAAATTTTGGAGTTAAAATTTTTATTTCGTAAAAAAATTTTAATACGTGTTCTAGAAGCTCTGGAGAGTCATCTTTCTAGCCAATTAAAAGTTCTCAATTTAAAAAAATTTTTTTTGGTCATTATTGGAGTTTTAAACAAAAACCTTAAACGACAAAATGCTTTCCTTTAACGTTAAAATAAATTTTGAGTCAAAAACCGTCACATTCGGTAAATTTTATATTAATGTAAAGAGTTTAAACTAAAAATAGTTTTTTCTTGTTCAAAAAATTTTTTTTTATCGAAATTTGCTTTAAAACTTAGTGCCTCGCCTCCAGATGTTAAAAAAATATTATTTTTTGTCTAAAAATTTTGTTATTTTATAATCTACAGATTTTACCCCTAAAACAAACTAAAAAAAATTTTTCGTTCCACCCTAATATATACCATCGCATCACATTTGACCCGGACTGACGCATTTAATTGCGCGCGCAAACTGAATCGATAAATATTTTAGAATTTTTATTGCACAGATTGATACAACCTTTTTTTATGTTCGTGTAAAGTTTGATTCCCATATATCAATTAAAGTGTGTTTGGTAGCAGTTTGTAGTGTGTTCACGACGCGAAAAGTGTGAATGGCGACTGGACGAACTAACGGATGTATTGGATAAACACATTTTCGAGACTTTCGAAAAGTTGTATATATCATCATATTCCTACTTTCTAATTATACATGATGATACAGATTCCAATATATAAGTCAAAATTAATATTTGCTTTTGAAGGTTCTTTTAATCAATGAATTTTAGGCCAATTATTGCTCATGAAAATTTATTATTTATACTTTTTTCCCTAGAACTTGTCTAATTAGTTCAATGTTGGAAATACATTATCTGAAAATATTTTTCTCGAAAAGCTTAACCTTTTATTGATCCTTCTCATTACTTTGAGGTACGCTAGCTAGTAAAAACATTCATTTCATAAAATAACTAATTGGTTAAAATTTATATTCCCCATGAACCCTTATTATTGTAACTTTTTTTAATGAGATTTTCAAAGAAATTTTTCTACCTATTTTTTTGTTGAATAATTTTACAGAACATCTAACCGATTAAAATTTATTTTATACTCACTTTCATAAAAAAAAGTATAAGTAGCCTTTGGGGTGTTCAATAATTAAATTTTTTTTTGTATATATATTTTGTCTAAATATTTATCTGAGAAAGCTCCAGTGATACATATATTTCGACATATAGTTTTCCAATATCTTTAACCTTCCAACAATCATTTAATCCCAGAAGTAGTAAAGAGGTCATATATATTTCAAATTGCACATCTCGTAGTAAGTTTCTATATCTGTCTAACGAGTAGAACGCTGCATTCAAGTTTCAAAAACTAAAAAAGTGTGAGCCAATTTATGTATGGAGAAAAAGCATAAACGATCTTGTCACGATTTCCAATCTTTTGGATATTCGAAAACAATCTATCCTATGATCCTCTGGCAGTAAAACTATGGCGGGAAGCTTAGAAACCAGAGATTTCACAAAATGTAAATAGCCGTAAAAAAACAATTTTTTTTGGAATATTGACCTTTTCTTATTTAATTCCTGCCTTAAAAGGATATATATAAAGAATAATAATGCGAAATTTGAAATAATTCAGTTTATTAGAAGAAGATTTTCGGCAAAATTTTTAAAAAAGTAATTTCGAGAAAAATATCTTTAACGTTTTAAGTCACGACCAAACCGGCTGAGTTGCCACAACACTAAAATTGCTGAAACTTTTACAATAATTCGTGTTTCGTAAAATGCTTTGGTAGCGAGATTCTACAATAATATGTTTAAATTGACGAAAATCAAAAAAAAAAAAATTCTACATTTTTCGCAATAAAATATTCTCAAATGAACTTGTATTTATTTCAAATACTTTTTTTTTTGTTTTCTATCAATATTGTGACAATTTTATTTTAATTTATTTCATATAAAAAAGTTTTCTTATTTTTGTTGCTGCTGTATGAAAATTGGCATTCATTAAAACTACTGCCACAACCATAGAGGTCGACACTACACCGATTGCATTGCCATATAAGCTTATAAGCATATGCGCATATTTTTACCGAATTAAAAGCAAAATAGTTGTTTTTTTTTTTTTTTGTCAAATTACCGTATTAAAGAAAAATTACACCGCTGTTTTATGGAAAATTCACTTTTAATAAGCTTCAATTCAAGTTTAACATTCACTTTGCGCTGCCTAAACAAATATAGGCAGCTTTTCCAAAACGAATATGCGAATTGAGTCATAAGTGAGCATGTGAGTATGTGTGCCTGTATGTATGGGTGTATTTATGTGAATCATTGCATTTCCTCATACTCGTTTCGGCTTGCCGCAGCTGTGAAACGCAACGCGACACTCGCAATAAAGTGATTAGCATTTTTCATGCCACCGCAAGTGGCAAGTGTTGAGTAGTCGAAAATGCGGACATACTGTTGGTGGGGAAAGTGTTGAGCGTGCACACATACACATACATACACGCATTGTGCTGTCATAAACAATTAATATCGCACATTAATCAATGCAATTTTCGGCTACAAATGCACTTACAACCATTCATATAATGAGCAAGGAAAAATCAGGTGCCACCGATGTATTAAATGCCAGCACCTCTTCTCAGCTACTTTTCGTTTTGTAGTTTATTAATTTATATTTACTTAGTGTAATTTGTCTATAGGCAGATAGCACTCACACCTGCTGGCATTAGAAAACCGGTAGTTGAGTGACGATGGCACAGAAGCATGAGTGGTAATGTGTACAGTTAGTTATGAGTACTTTCAAAGTATGGTAGCTGGCAATGTTTTACGTTTTAATTAAACTTTTTACGAAAATTTGCTAAAATAATATTTTTTTGTTTTTTTTCCACAAAACTGGTTCACTTTGAAAATCACCTCGATCAACATTTTTTTGCGCTCGCCTCTCAATGTCACCCACTAAAATGTCGTGATGTGCAATTTAAATATCACTATTTTGACTAATAGAAAATAATACGTTAAAGTTTAGCGTGAAGTTAAATTTTTTATGACACAGATATTACGTCATGAGCTCAAGTATTGAAATCTACTTTGTATTGTATTGTATTTGTATTTTATCAGCATTGCGAATTTCGATTGTATGATCTCTATTGGTAATTATTCAAATTTCCATGAGCTGTCGGCTAACAAATTTCAACTTAAATTACTTTAATTAAAAGTCTCACTAAGATGAATGAAAACTTTGAACCGAAATGTATAAATGTGGATTTTGCGCTACATAACCTCAATAGCAGTAATCTGTGTTTACGAAAATTGATTATATAATTTTTTTTAAGAATTCATGCGTATTCCAGAATTCGTCCAAATATGCTGTTATATGCATATATAAACATATACAAACAGTGTTAAGCAATAAGATTGTTTTGTTGCGAAATGTTGGAGTCTCTTATAACTTTTATTCTCATTACATATAACAAACCGAAAATATTTATGTGCTATACAAGTATGTGATGCAACTAAAATAATGGACTCTGCAAGATGTGGTAAGGTAATGACTTTTCGGAACTTTGAGACACTAGTTCGCATATACACAGATGGCCGGACAGACAAACGGACATGGCTAAATCGACTCAGCTCGTTACGCTGATCATTTACGTATATATGTATGTATATAATTTATAGGGTCTCTGAAGTTTCCATTTAAATGTTCACCATCATCGTGACACACTTAATAAACCCTGTTTAAGGTATAAATATATCATGGAGAAACAATATTTAGTTTAGTAATGCTTAAGCAAGAAATAATTCTAGCCGTTTGAACTCATATAGAAATATTTTACACTCGGCTTAAGTATTTAGTATCGAAATTGACCTCTATGGGTGAATATTAGAAAATTAAAGATTTCGAAAAAAAAATTCCTTCAAATCGATTTGGCTATGCAAATTAGGCTGTTGCCTTCATGATCTTGGCTTCTTATTCTCAGTTTTTTATAAGTTAACTAAATTCTATTCACTTAAATGAAAGTCTACGTTTTTATTTTTATATATTTATACATATATTTTGTACATAAACATTTTTTTGAGAAATAAAATATTTATGGTTTTTTTTTTTAACTATAAAAGACTTTTTCTCAATTTATTTAATATTGAAAAAAAAAAATTTTAATTGTAATTATTTCTGAAAATAATGATTTAAAGCATATGAAAATATAGTAAAAAATTCAATTTTATTTATTTCATTTCAGAAGACTACTTGGTATAACTAATTGGTAAGTCAAGAGCTTAGGCTTCTTATTTGTATTCTTATTTGTATGTGTGTGTGTCCAAGCACTTTTTGAAAGCCTTTTAGCAGTGAATTAAATTTAGCTATAAATCAATTATAAAACATATTAATAATTATGGAAATAAATACTTAAATTGGTGTATAATATTATAATATATTTTATAACTTATAGCTAACTACTACTCTGCTCCCATCCATAAGCAAAACAAAGAAACAAAATTCATAACAAAGTCAACTACCAAGTTCAGCAACCGCTTAATTATTTCATTATTATTTATTGTTTTTAAGGTTTCCTTTCGTAAAATTCACACATAATTCACAAGAAATTCAAAGAGTAATTTGGAAAAGTCGGAAATAATGAGGCGAATTATTGCTCGCTAAAAAGACTTGTGATAATTTATGTAACAGTTTTTTTATGCCGAAAAATTACAATTGTGTATATGCGAGTGTGGTGTATTGATATTTCTTTGTAAGCGTCATTAAACTAATTGATTAGCACCACATGCAAGGTGTGGTGACGCGACACCCAGTGAGCTTGCAAGCTTTCGAAGCGCAGTATGAACTTTCAGCGCGTTGCGTATGAGGGCGCATAGCGTGTGGCAAATAGCGAAATGTCATTGTTGACATGAAAATGTGTAGCAGCTACGATTTGCCATACAACCCAAGCTATAATCCAGCGCTGTCGCTGTCAAAGTGCTGGATCAAACATTTTCCGAATTCAATTAAGGCGCTCAGTCAAGCTGTCTGACTGACTAACTTACGGCTAAATTCGATGAAAAGCAGTAACCTTTGCGCTTTTGTTTTACTTTTTCGGATGAAATGGTTTGTGTGTGTTTTTTGTGGTTTTTACAAATAATTCAATTGACTAGTTTGCTGACTCTTTGACGAGACATTTATTTGTGGAAATGCATACCTTTGTGCGCTCTGTTATGCATTGATGGCTTTGTTTGCAAATATTTGATATTTTTTTGGGTTGATTGCACTTTTCAAGTCTGCAGACTACAAGATTTTATTAATTTTTCCCTTAAACTTAAGTGCGATTTGTCATGCAATCTCAAAACGTATTAATGACTGAACTGACTAATTGGCTGATGGAAAGTTTATTGAACTTTTTCGACACTTTTAATTTGAGAAATGTTAAATAGTTTATTTAAGTTACCCTTCTCTATTTGGCTGGCAAAATTATAGTAATAAAGGGGAAGTAGCGATAAATTCGGCAAATGCAGCAGATTTCAAATTTCTTTCAAAATTCATTATCTGTTCTTCTATGGCTATTGATCATTGTGGACCGATACTTAAAGACTCCAAATTTTTATATTGAACCATAATCGATCTCTGACTTCTATTTTTTTCATCTCGGAATTTTTCGGTAACCTCGATCAAATCAATAATCTGTTAGACATTATTTAATAATCTATAAAACTTTTACTTTCCTTTCTTAAATTCTTAACGCAAACTGCAATGGTGGGTTCGAGATGAGCAGTTTCAAGAGATGTCTTAGCACTTAACACTGTTTTCATTTCCCATTTAGTTTGATAGTGACTTTCTGATGTTGTGTAGTGCAAAAGATTGTTAAAGCTAACTTGAACTGCATCATTTTAAAAAGGAAAGAATGGAAACCGGAATCCGGAACCCAAAATCATTCATCATCAGTATATTACTCAAAAATTCATATCGGCTTTTGGATTCCCTTTCAAACACCAGATTTTTTTCAGATTTTTTTTTAAATTGGTTGCCTAATTCCAAGAAGTCTGGCAGAAAATGCAAGTACCAACCCAAAATCATGTGATCATGTCTCTTTTGCGACCTCTACACGACGTCGTTTTATCAAAAGGTCTGCTAGTACGAGTCTAGCGTTAATACGCTTCATACCGAAAACATTAACCAAATTGTGTTGAGTCGATCTATAAGATGTTGCGGTCCTCGGCCACATTAGTTGTAACAATTTAGGAAAAAATATTATCGATTCGGAATATTTAATTAAGCAGAACAAAATTTGGTAGACCGATTTAGCCGATATCATGACTGTAAATGCGTTCCAAGCATACTTGCGTCGAAAATTACAAAGTGATCGATTCTTAAAATCAGATCATTTGCATCTTTACCATTATCACTCAGATTTTTCCTTTCAAACTTAAAATTGGATAGGTCGTAATTAGTTCATAATATTCTTCTATATCTTATATTATTTGATCCTTAAATTCTTCTCAGTAAATGTATAAACAACTTGTTACAAAATTTTTTTGTCCTCTTTTTACATATTTATATCGACAAATATAATATTTTTCTTACCTTTCGAAAATCGCGAATATTCGTTCATTAATTACATCACCTTCTCAATTATCTGTCATAGCCTAAGATTTGATTATCCGATAATTTTATGTAAATATAATATAATGTTGCCAAATTGAGGAAACCATTCGAAAACTAAATGAATATACACTCGAATTATCGTTATTTCATTATAGCCGTCAGTAAACCTTTTAAATTACGGTTTAGCATGAACATTGCTTATATTAAGTAAATACTTATAACAATATTTTCTTTTCTTAAATTTGACCAATTTTTATTTATTTGTTATATATTTTTTATTTATATTTCATACCCCTCTCCACACTCTCCCACCAAAAACTAGCACATACCTATTAGTGTATTTGTGTAATACCGAGCTAGTTGTTTGGCTATTTAGACTAATGGGATAATCAGTCCAAACGAGTTGGTTCGTTAATGTGCCGACATCTTTGCGCCGCCATTGGTAAACGCATCGCTTTGTTGTGGTCTTTGACTTTCAATCAGCATCACCGCAAAACTTTCCTTTATCCACTTCTGCCATTATAAATATTAAATATTTGTTTTTGTATTTGGTCGCGACTGTCATTCCAACTTCATTTGCTGTTTGTTGTTAATATGTGTACTTAGTTTGTTGTTGCTGTTAGTTTCCTGTGTTGTGTACTTGTAATTACCGGCATACCTACTCAGAGATATTGCGATTAGCTGTAATGATGAAACTGGGTCACATCGGATCTTTAAAATGGGCATTCAATTACACTTAACTACACTTCGTCAGTTATTTATACCTCTCTGGTACTAAGTACGTATATTTAACATAAAGCGAAATGCGCTGAAGTACATTTGAGTACGACATAAGTGGTAAACAAGTCAATACTTGACCTAATTTATTTCAATGAGCGCTTATTAGATCTCTCTAAATAAAGAATATATTGACTCTATGGCTGCGTGGTAGATTAGTCTCTATAAAAGGGTTTAAGATTTGAGTTCCTAGCACGTAATAAGTTGGATTCATAAGATGCTTGAACTAGACTAATCTTAGCGTGTTCTTATGTTTTTTAGAAACTTATTTATAATAAGAAATGAGGCATGTGAGGTCAATCTTCACTAACAGAGGTTTTGCTCTTGGCTTTGAGGTTATGTTCAAGAGATATTATGGCTTTAACTGCAGTCGTGAATGGAGACAAAATAACTTATTTTTATTACACATGTTTGCATATATTTGAAGTTAAAAACAAAGTTATAAACACAAAAAAACCTTCTCCTGAAAGTTCCCTCAATTCTAAAAAATATTTTAGCACCCCAAATGTGTTTTTGATATAATCATTTTCAAGAGTATAAAAAACTTTAAATTTCATGCGGCGGTAACATGTTTCTAATGTTTCGAAATATCACTACATCTGTCCACGAATATTAAAGCTAGTAAGAGCGCTGATAAACTGTGTTCTCTCTTCTAACTGTAACTCAATTATATTCTTCTTTCAAAAATATTCAACATGAAGGCAACAAGGGCTCACTTGTTATTGTTTTTTTTAAGAAATCTGCGAACGCTCTTAGACCTTCGACGCTACATTTTTACTGTCTCATCTTAACTCATACCGAATTGAGTAAATTAATTAAAGGCACAAACATGTGCTGCACGCATTCGAAATTGCTTCCAAATGAATAGACTTAATGGATTCAGCATTGATGTACCAACCATGTCCGCCTTAAGAATCTTTGTACAGACACAAACACTTGAGTGCTAACATGAATAAGTTTATGCATAAATATCTGCTGGCTGATGCCACTTAACTCCCCAACCGCCTCCACCAGACGCATGTCCACACTGCGGCATAAATTAGCACACCCGGAAATATTTGACTCTTTACTTTGCTTGAACTTAATTGAGAATTATGCATTATTAGCATAGAATTTCTGCATTTCTATGATTGCTTTAGCTGCTTGGATAGCTTATTTGTTTTTTTTTTTTGTTTACTAGCTATTGTCTACTTAATTGAGAAATGACTTTGAATAATGGGAACAAAATGCTGCAATTTGATAAGATTAAACTTAAAGAAATGTGATCGAAAGAATTCGAGTAGGAAGCTATGGAGGGAAAATGTGGGGGAAATATGGACATTACTTAAAACTTTACCGGTTGGAGACTAGACTATGTATTAACGAACCCTAAATCATAGGATTTTGTAATGAAGACAGCAGTAAAATTCTCAATTGGACAAGAAACACTTAAAAAATAAATAAAAGACCAGCGACAGAACTCTCTAAATACGGTGACGAAGTGCTGATACAATGTCTTTATCGAGACTCTTACTTAGATTTCAACCTGAGAGATAAGCCATTCGCTATTCCCACCTAATGTCGGCGCAGCAACTTTACATGGTTCTCAGGGCCGAATTATGCAAAATTTATTGTTTTATATATGCGTGGGTTTAGGCTTCGAGGATTTTGCATTTATTGACTGGAGAGTCAATCGTCAATTCTGAAATCAAGTTCTCTCTCACTACACAGTATCAATACTTAATGAGTTTCATTAGATATGCATATGTATAATATGCATGTCTTTTAGTGATTTCGAATACTCTAAATTATTTACCTAGTCAATAAGACTCTTACATCACAAAATTTTAATACCGTACAGCGAAGTGGGAAAGCAAAAGGATACATATTTTCTCTGTATTGAAGAGACTAATAAGA